TTCTTTTACAATTAGATGCATTATTTACAGGAATATATATATATATATTAAGGAAAAGGGAAACAGTGCCTTCTACATGCTCATCAGGTAAGCTGGCTAGAACCTGCTGAGACTGACTTTGTTGTCTGTCCCTCTTACCTCCTTAGCTTGGCTGTCTCCTACCCCAGCTTTATGCTCTCCTGTTTATTTTCCTCAGTGTTCCTGACCTCACTCTTTTAACTCTAACATTTGATTTAAACTGATGTGGGAAATGTAAAAGAAATGCACTGTCTTTTCTACCAAAGAGTTAAGACAAAACTTCATGTAGAAAAATTAGAAGCAGCTTGGCAGAAATTGAAATTCCTCCAAGGCCAGCACTTCTTGAAATCAAAATATACATTCAAGGTTGAATTTGGTCCTCAAAATTGCATTCTGCTTATCAACTGCATCGCTGTAAGTCAGCCAGGAGTAAGAATGGGAGACTGAGCTCTGACCACTCAAAGTGAGGCACAGTATCCCTTTGCATTAGGAATAAAAGCCCAGCAGGATACTTGCTGGGCATGCTTGCTTGCCGGATTTACAACAGCTTGGAACCTTTTTGTGAAGTCAAACTTTTTGTTTTGGAAAATACTTTGGATTGTGTGGTCATTTTCTTGAGGCCCCAGATGCAATTCTAACACCCTGACAGAATGCTACAGCAGGAGCCCCCATGGCAGTGGGTAAAGTTGCTGCTGTACCCCCAAACAGCTTGGCTGTGAGCCCCTTAGCCTCCTGTTCACCCTCTTCAGTTAGTTACCTGTGGCTGCCAAGACAAAGTTACCCTCACTGGGGAGCCTAGAGCCCCTCACAGTTCTAGGGGCTGGAAGCCTGTAATCTAGGTGGACTCCTCTCCTTGCCTTTTCTTACCTTCTGATGGTGGCAGAGGCATAAACTCTGTAACTTATGGCTGTATCACCTCAAGCTCCACCTCTGTTATCACATTGCACACTCCCCTCACGAGTCTGTCTTCAAAAGGTTCTCCTTTAAAGAAATACTGGTCATGGGTCAGCAAGATTGCTCAGTGGTTAAAGCCACCTGCTGCCAAACCTGAGGACCTGAGTTTGATTCCTGGCACCTTCATGGTAGAAGAAGAGAACTCACTCCCCCAAGTTGTCCTCTGACCCCCACACATGTGCCATGGAACACAAACACCTCTCCTCACACCAAAATAAATTGATAAACGTTTTTTAAGACAAGGAATTAGCAATTTGTGAGATTAGTGAATATCAAAAAAACTAAGACAGCTTCCGGTTTTCAGCTTAAATTGAGTTGGGGCTTGGCATTCCTGCTAGGAAGTTGTGGCATTGCTCCAGTCACAATGATCAAGGTGGTTTGTAACGACCGTCTGGGGAAGAAAGTGTGCATCAAGTGCAACACCGATGACAGCATTTGGGACTTGAAGAAACTGAGCACAGCCCAGACTGGCACTCGTTGGAATAAGATGGTGCTGAAGAAGAGGTACATGATTTTTAAGGACCATGTGTCTCTGGGAGACTATGAAACCCACGATGGATGAACCTGGAGCTTTATTACCAGTAGAGTTCATTCCCCCCAACCCACCCTTCTCCCCAAACCCAGTCCTCCTCTGCCACCATGATCTGACACACTGTATGGACGCGTATTTTTAACAAGTCATGTGAATAAAAAAAAAATTGTGTGCTGCTTCAAAAAAAAGAAAAGAAAATGTAAGGCAATGCACAGCTTGTGTGGCTCAGATTACACATTATTTTTCAGTTTTAAAAAACATAAATGATGGGACTAGAGAGATGGGACTAGAGAGATGGTTAACAGCACTGGCTGCTCTTGCAGAGGACCTGGGTTTGATTCCTAGTACCTACATGGTGGCTAACAACCATCTGTAATTCCAATTCCAGGATGTCTGATGCCCTCTTCTGACCTCTGTGGGCATTTCATGACATGGGTGCACTTACATACATGCAGGCAATACACTCATACACATAAAATACAAATAAAAATTAAAATATTTTAAAAAGGCATAGCCTCCTGCATTCTGGTGCCAGTACCATTCCTGGGTAAGTCTAGCAGTGCCCATACCTTAACCCCCCCAGCCTCATTCACCTTCCCAGCTCCCCAACCCTGTCTCTCCTCAGCCTGGTACTAGCCAATGTCTTTTCTTGGCACCCCAGACACCAGGGCTGAACTCCTGGCCCAGAATCCCCACTGCTTCCTGATCCTTTGCATCCAGACCAACACAGTTCCTCCCAGTAGTCCCCAGGAGCCCTCAGGGCCTTTTCCCCGCTCCCAGCTCCCTTTGTATCCCTGGGTAGCACAGACCAGCTTCCTGAGACCAGCATCTTTCAGCCCAGTCCCCAAATTCCTGAGGGCAGCATCTTTCCTGGAGGGATCCAGACCTTAGGAGAAAGCCTGAGAGCATCTGATTCTCATTCGACTTGAGCCTCTGTGGAAACTCCTGAAGATGAAAGCAATTTGGCCACTCCAATATAAAAGCAAAAGAAAGAACCTGAAGCCTAGACCAACCAGATTTTCATACCCAACAAGTAAACCACAAAGGCACATAAAGTTTACAAAAAGAAGCAGACCTAAACTCAACAAAGGAAGGCCTGAGCCTCACACAAGAATCAGAAATTATAAAAGAAATTCACGTCAAAGTCACAGAGAAAAAATAATAACATGAAAAACCAAAATAATATATCCCTACCAAGTACCAATAGTCCTCTAGAGGAGTACAATGAGAACCCCCTAGAGATAACACAGGACATGGAACTCAAAAGAACAATTATAATCATGATAAAAGAATTCAGTGAATTTAAAGAACATACAAAGAAAGAACTGAAGGAAGATAGGGATAAACTTCTGAGTGAATTCAGAAAGATTTAGCAATATTGAAGAATACTCAGGCTGAAATGAAGAAGGAAGTGAAACACTCAGTAAGCCAATTAGAAATGACAGGAGAAAGCCTCACCAATAGAAACAGAATATCAAAACTGGAAGATAAAGTGGACAAACTAGACCACTCAAGAAAAGAGTATGAAATTTTTAAGAAATCATAAGAATGGAATATGCAGGAATTGTGTGACACCATAAAAAGACAAAACTTATGAATCATAGGCATACAGGAAGGAGAAGAATCTCAAGATAATGGTATGGACCAGATCTTCAAAGGATTGGAGAGGAAAATTTCCCAAAATTAAAGAAATACAAATACAGGAAGCACATAGAACACCAAATAGACAGGACCAGAAAAGAAACTCTACACAGCACAACATTGTAAAAACACTAAATGTACAGAACAAAGAGACAATACTGAAGCTGCAAAAGAAAAACAAATCACATATAAAGGAAAACCCATCAGGATTACAGCTGATATTTCAGTGCAAACTATGAAAGCCAGAAGAGACTGGACCAAATTATTCTCACTTCTAAATGGTCACAGATGCCAACCCGGATTACATTACCAAGCCAAAATGTCTATTATAGTCAAAGGGGAAAGAAAAATCTTCCATGACATAAGTAGGCTGAAAGAATTCATGTCCACAAAACCAGCCCTTCAGAGAGTTCATCTTGAAGCGAAACAAAGAGCTGAAGAAAGGAAGGGGTAACTGAAAGAAACTTAATGAAGGTATAACTGTGGAAATGCACAGATACTCCAAAAATGTAAACAGAAATAAAAATGACAGGAATCAATACACATATTTCATTAATAACTTTAAATATGAATAGATTGAACTCCCCAGTCAAAAGACACAGACTAGGTGAATGGATTAAGAAACAAAACCCATCTTTTTCGTTGTCATCAAGAAAGCCATCTCACTTTCAAGGACAGGCACTACCTTAAGGTGAAAGGATGGAAAAAAATATACTAAGCAAATGGTACTAAGAAAAAAGCAGTCACTGCAATTCTAATATCTGATAAAATAGACTTTAAACTAAAACTAGGGTCAGAAGAGATAAAGAGGGCCACTTCATTATGGAACAATAAACCAAGAAGATATTACAATCATGAACATATATTCACCAAACTCTGGTGCATCCAACTTCATAAAAACAGTACTACAGGACTTAAAGGCCCAGATTAATCCCAACTCATTAATAGTAGGGGACTTCAGTACCCTGCTGTGTCACCATTAGATTGGTCAACACGACAGAGAATTAACAAAGAGACATATGAATTAAACAATACCATATATCAAATGGACCTAATAGACATCTACCAAATATTCCACCCAAGCATCAAAGAATATACTTTCTATTCAGGGCCCCATGGAACCATCTCCCAAATCAACCACATACAGGGGCACAAAACAAACCTCAAAAAATACAAAAAAGATTGAAATAATTCCATGCATTCTATCAGACCACAATGCAATAAAGCTTACAATCAACACCCAAAGAAGCCCTAATCACCACATGAACACATGGAGATTAAACACATTTCTGAATGATGAATGGGTCAAAGGAAAAATTAAGAAAGAAATAAAAGTATTCCTGGAAATAAGTGAAAAGGACAATACAACACAATGAAACCTCTGGGACACGTTGAAAGCAGTCCTCAGAGGGAAGTTTATAGCTCTAAGTGCCTACATTAAAAAAAATCAGAAAGAACACAAACAAATGACTTAACATTGCAACTCAAGACACTTGAAAAGCAACAACAAATGAAACCCAAACCCAGCAGACAAGAAGAAATAACAAAAATCAGAGCAGATATTAATGAACTAGAAAAAAAGAAAACAATACAAAGAATCAATGAATCCAAGAGCTGGTTCTTTGAAAAAAATAAACTAGACAGACCCCAAGTGCAGTTAACTGAAAGAAAGAAAGAGCACCTCCAAATCAACAAAATCAGAGATGAAAGGGGAAACATCATAACAGACAACACAAAGATCCAGAACATTATGAAGGAATACTTTAAAAACCTATATGGTACTAAATTTGAAAACCTAAAAGAAATGGACGGGTATCTAAAAGCATGGGAACCACCAAAACTAAACCAAGAAGAGATTAACAGCTTAAACAAACCCATAACACATAAGGAAATTGAAACAGTAATACAAAACCTCCCGACAACAAAAGCCCAGGACAAGATAAATTTATAGCAGAATTCTACGAGACATGTAAAGAAGATCTACATCCAATGCTACTTAATTTATTCAAAAAGACAGAAATGGAGGGAGAACTTCCAAATTCCTTCTATGAAGCCAGCATTACTCTGATACCAAAGCCAGATAAAGATAAAACTAAAAAAGAAAACTGTAGACCCCTATCCTTAATGAACATAAATGTAAAAATTCTCAACAAAATACTTGCAAACCACATATAGACACACATCAAAAAGATCATCCACCATGATCAAGTCAGCTTTATTCCACGGATGCAGGGATGGTTCAATATACATAAGTCAATAAATGTCATAAGTCATATAAATGGGCTCAAAGACAAGAACCACATGGTCATCTCAATAGATGCAGAGAAGGCCTTTGACAAAATTCAACATGCTTTTATGTTTAAAGTCCTAGAGAGAATTGGACTGGAGGGAACATACCTCAACATAATTAAAGCCAAATATAGCAAACCCACAGCCAACATCTTTCTAAATGGAGAAAAACTGGAAGCTATCCCATTGAAGTAAGGAACCAGACAAGGTTGTCCACTATCTACACTCCTTTTTAACATAGTGCTTGAAACTTTTGCAAGAGCAATAAGACAAGAGAAAGAAATTAAAGGAGTAATAATTGGAAAATAAGAGATGAAATTATCCCTTTTTGCAGATGATGTGATATTAAATCTAAGAGATGCCAAAAATACCACCAGAAAACCT